GAAATATACGGATACGGATTCGCCGATTTCGTAAAATCTTTGTTAAATTGTAAAGGAATTTTACTTACTTTAACTTTTGATCTTCTCGAGTTTCCCTTCGAGCCAATTATTCTTCGCCGAAAATAAACGAGCCAATCGCGAAAGCTGAAATTTCGCATGGTACGCCGCCTCTCCTGGCTGATCTTCCTTTTAATCGAAATAAAAAATAAATAATCGCGCGCGAAATTGTTGTAAACGCGCAAAGGTGAGCGAGAGACTATGTTAAAAGAGACGCGTGTTGCGATGCATGATCGTGATGAGAACTAATGATTGGAGAGGTTGGTCGAACAAAGTTAGCCGTACATAACAAGTATAGGCGGTATAGATTTCAATATCTATTAAGCACATTCGGGTCACGAAGATGTTGCTTGCAACAAGTGTCAGCAACGCTTTCCCAAAATTGGCTTGGGTGTAACATCCTGTTCTTTCCACTTAGCTTGCTTATTAAAGCGATCCAACTTTTCACCGCTTTTGTGAGATAAAATCGAACGGAAATCGCGATGAAATTTCGATCGAGTTCGATATTGAAGTTTTTGTTTACGCGTCGAAACTCGACTCGACTCGAGACGAGACGATTGCATACGAAAATAATTGCACTGTCCGAATCGATTCCTCAACGTTCTTCCTCCGTGATCCTTAAAGCTGAAAATGAAATTAATCGAGGCGTTGCGTGGAACGCGTGCTCGTTCCGTTCGTTCTATCGCGTCAACTAATTACTTGTCGCACATCCGTGCGGAAAATATAGGGAAAAGAGGGGAAAGAAAGGGCAGATATAACGAACGAAATAATAATTATTGGCGACGCTTATTTCCACACAAATGCAAATCGGTCGCGAAGCAGCGACGAGTGGCTCGTTAAATGTTCAATTTGATACACGAGTATATGCAAATCGACCTATATCTTCCCTGTGAAACGAAGAATCGAGATTCTTGTTAAACTCGAGATCGTTTTCACCCGATTAACTCGAACGTGTCTACTCTCTCGAGTAGAATTGCTTCTACTTACTGCGTTTCATTCGTAATTAGATATTTCGACGTTTGAATTAATCCGAGACGAAGGAGAAGATAGATTTAAGATAGATTCGAAGAAGAAGATATATGGAAAAAAAAAAAAGGAAAAAGACGTGTCATAGGGCGACATTTTATAAATTTGGCGTCGATATACGCGATCGGTTTTTCACAGCGACGACGAGTCGAGTGGAGTGAAATCGCCATCAATTTTCCCCTGTGCCAAACGCGAGAAATCGTGCCCGGCTGGCAGCCGGATCTAGAACGCGAGCGTGTAATCAACGAGCAGGAGGAGGAGGAGGAGGAGAATAGGAGCAGTCACCGTGATTTATTCGCGGCGAATTAATATTTACGCGAAGGGTTCCTTTTCTTAGCAGCGTCGATATTTTCGCGCTGGCGTAAATTGAGATTTAATTCCGCTGCATTTCGCGGATTTGCGACTCTTTTTCGTCCCGTCCGAAATAAATTCGAAACGGTGTTGGAGAAAGAAAATCATAACCGCGATTAAAAAATTATCTAGGAGGAATCGGAGTGGAGGTGGTCGAGTAACTCGAGCAGACGAGAGACGAATTTGGGAGGAGGAAACGAGGAAGGAAAGAGAAGGAAAGAGGCTCGAAAGAGGAGTTGGCCAGTTCTAAAGTTGAAAGTTGCAGGTGACCACGCAAAGTTGCTATCATCGGTTCGATCCGGATCGAACAATGGTCGCCCCGAGCTCGGCTCTCGGTTCACCCGCTCGTCGAGTAAGTAGCGGAAAATGAAGCGGTGTAACCGACAGTTTTAAGTGGAATTCAAACAAAATTCCCGTTTTCTCGGCGATTGTGCGAGTTGTTGTTTAACTTGCCGCAAATCACGCTACATTTCGTCCGATGGAAGAGGCGCTTCGGATCGCAGGATCACTTCTCGACCGAGAGTTTTCGCTCCGCTCTCCTTCCTACGTGTAATATCGTAGAAATTATCTCAATCGCGTGCGTTTTCCACTGTTTTCTTCCGGATTTCGATATTCAAGGTTCGTCGCGAATAATTAAGAGATACGAGGGATGTTTTTGAATATGTTCGATAAACATCTCTGATAAAGCGGGGGAACGAGAGATCGTAAAAGGGAATACGTTAAGAGATCGTTGTAAAGTTTTTCCCAGAGCTGAAGTACGTGTATACGTTCCCTCGCGTAAACCGGTTGAAACAGTTGTAAAAAAGGATATCGCGAGGATAAGGACGCATAAACTTGTTACGGACACGGTTCCAGCCAATACGAAACACCGAGCATAAAAAGTTTGCGAGCCACGCGGTGTCATAAATCGATTGACCTCGACCCTTGCCAGCTGCGGATGGATGAAAAAGATCTTTCAGCTCGAAACGTTTAACGCAATTTTAATCTCTCTTCTCGACCAATTTTCTCGCTTTTCTTTCCTTTTCTATGATTTTCTTAAAACGTACGCACAATTTTGCGCGTCACTCCTACGTAAAAGGAAATTCATCCGTAACGAAAGAAATCGTATCAACTTGGAAATAACGATCTAAGCTTCCGTAACCTTCTAATCTAAGTTTCTCGGGGGGAGACGCGCTCGTTGAAATTTGCGAAAGGATTGCGAAAGCGCGTCTCTCTTCCCGAGAGCCGCGTATATATATATATATATATATATATATATATATAAAAGTATAAAAGAGCCGTGTCTCTTTTCTCTAAAAACTCGAAGACCTCGGTTGAAAATCCGTGGAAATCCATTCAGCCGGGATCTTTTCGAATGCGAACCGCACTCGTGGCTCGCGATGTCCATGCTTTGATTCCTATCCTGAATTTTATTCAGGGATATGGATGGAACAACGAAAATGGTAATTATCTCGTTATCTCCGTCGCTACATTCGACGCTTTAATACAAATATCGCGAAGGTGAAAGGGGAGAAATATTTTATTTCTGTCGATGTTAATTCGTTCTTTTCTTTTTTTTTTTTTTTTTTTTTTTTTACCTATTTAAGTTTGAATTGTTTTGCGTAAATACCTAAAGAAAAATACACGGGGATGCCGTGCTCTATAAATTCCGATAGCACTTTATTCCTCGAAACTTTTCGATGGAAGAGTTCCAAGTTTCACATTCGTCACTCGAACCTGCTTCCAAACAACTTGGACGTTAAAGATTCGAAAACAGATGCGAGGATCCTATATTTTTATCAGTATGGAAATCGAAGCAAACTATACTCGTCGCTTCTTCTTGCTACTCTCGTTGTCTGTCAAAGAGGCGGTCAAGAGAAATTACAAATCACGGAAAAGCGTAATAATAATAAGGTAATCCGATTTTACAATTTAATTCCAAATTTATTTACGCTGCCTTTCCAATTTTTTTTTTTTTTTTTATCCAAAATAGTTGCAGTTTATAAAGCAATATTCTCTTATCTTTCGCAACGAGTATCGATTACTTTTTCTCGAAGAGAATACCTCTTTCATCGATCACTGTCCGAAGGGAGAAAGGAATGAAATATCAAAGTTCACATTCGAATTCCGTTTCGTTTTAACGAATGGAAATCGTAATTTCGTAAACCAATTAAAAATCAAAAATTTTCGTTTCGAAGAGATAATTTCTAGAGAAATTTCTTTTTTTTTAAATAATCGATATTCCGCGACTCGCACGAACGAATCCTGTTCGAAGAAGAGAGATCCAACAAGACGGAAAATGGAAGGATGAAGAAGATGATCCATCGATTCGTTCGACGAGGTATAAAAATCTTTGCAGCGGAAGAGATCTCGAACCCGATCCTCGAACGAAAATGTCGCGAGTTCGCAAACTCTCGATCGTTCTCAAGTTGAATCAATCGTTGCAAGATTCTATCGATTCTTGCAAAAGATAAAAGAGTACTTTTCTTATCTCGAACAAGATCGGATGCTGGACTCGGATGTAAATGGGAAGACGTTTCGTCGTCGTTGTTTGGAAGGATCGAGTCGAGATTTCAAACCTCGTCTTACTTCTCTATTCGAAATGGAAATTGAAAAGATTGAAATGTTGAAACGGCTATCCCCGATAGAAAAATTCCATACGAGAAAAATATGAAAGTCGCGCTTCCTTTAATACGTCGATATGTGGCGAATCAACCGATCGTTTCGTACGATCGTTGCTCCTTCGAGATCCCTATTCTCTCTCGAAACCGTGATCATTTTATTTTTATTTCGAGCTTTTCGCTATCTTTCGTCGGTCATCTTGACTTTTTGCATAAGAAAAATGATACGTTTTCGATTTCTATCGAAATATATTTTATAAAGCGATAATTCGTAAGTAAATGAAGCGGGAGATTAATTTGACAAACGGATTTAAATCGAACGAACTTTGCGACTAATGCCGTTAAATTGATCGGAGTGGATTCGACTAAATCGAACGATGCTTTGGAATAAATGCAATTTAATGCGATTTAAACAAACTTTTATCTCGCGTTTTAAAGTTTAATCTTTTACAAATAGATATCAAATATTATCTACGTATATATATATATATATATATTTTTTTTTCAAATTCTTTCTACTTTTGAAAAGTTGGTATATTAAATAATATCTTCCGTTAAACGAAAACAAAAGATTTTGTGATTTTTAATCTCAACTCGAGTAAAAAAAAAAAAAATAGAAAGTCTTCTTCTTTCCTGAAATAAATATATATAAGAGAGAAACTGTCCGACCTACATAAAAGTGCGATCTATTATTAACGCTGTAAGAAGGTCTAAAACAATTAGATGTTCACCTTTCGTGACTCGCACGCGTGTTTCGTGCTTTTTATCTTTGATCCGTTTAAAGTAATTAGGACAATAGAGGGGATATCGTGGATAAAACTAATTCGTAGAAAAATATAAACGAAGCGAGGGACGCGACAAGTGTGCAAGTGGAAAAGACTTAATCTCTCGGAAATTAGAGGGTTCTCGTCTCTCCGACACTTTCGCTTCTCGAGAGTTACTCCACTCTATCTCGGATCGTTTCAGTGGAAGAAGGTGATGGCCCGTACCACGCGCTCGCGACGAAAAATGGCGAACACGACTGATGCTCCCTCGCCCGCGAGCAGCCTTTTGTCGTCCACCACGACAACCCCGTTCACCGGCCCGACATCGACAACCTACTCCACCGAGGGCTACACCTTCAATTACACCGGCTTGCCCGGCCTAGGTGGCTACTCGTTCGAGGACTTGAATTACACGGAACTGTGGGTGGACGCGTGGAACAGTACGGAGGCCAGTAACGCGACCGAGAGGTTAAATACCACTGTATTGTCATCGGGAGGAGGCTACTGCGACGAATGGGAGGCGGCGCAGCACAAACTCTTCCAGGTAAGCTCTAGAGCGAAGGTCCGTTCAACCTTGCTTCTAAGATTAGAAAATTGGAAGCATTTGTTCTTCAACGTTAACGAAGATAGTTTTTAATTGAAATGGAATTGGGAATCGTGCGGATAATAATTTAATAATAATAATAGTAATAATAATAATAATAATAATAATAATTATAATAATAATAATTATAATTAATAATAATAATAATTTAATAATTAGAAATATTTGTACGCATAGAGAGATGTTAGGAAACTTTGTAGCAAGGAAAATGATAGATTCGCGAAATCTGTTTAATGAAATCTCGAACGACGAAATTATTCGATAATCGAACGGTTGCGCGAGATGAGCCATCCTCTCGATCGGATATCGACCGAGTCTCGAAGCGCGAAGCGAGAGGCGAAGATTTCTTACGCTCGCTACTACTCGAAATAATTTAAACGATCGCGCGCATCGAATCTTAAAAACGAGTGCCGTTGTGTGGGAACGAATCTTTTTTCTTGTTTTTATCGCGTAAAGGTAACAAGATTCGTTTGAAAACAGATTTGTTCAACGCGACGCGATTTCGATTACATTTCGTCGAGTACACGTCTTTCTTTTCGATTATTATTCGTTGGAATAAATTCGTTTTCGAATAAATGCTTGAATCGATTGCGAAAGAGGGGGGAGGGGAAGAAGAAGAGGAATCTCGAGCACGTTCGAGAACGAGTTAGGGGATCGAGTTATCTCCCCTACGGAGACGGTCGCTCGAATTTACTCGGCCGATGGATTTTCTCACGAGGAAATCTGTTTCGATTTGCCTTTTACCAGGCGGCGAATCTGTTCTTCGCAGCGGCGTTCCTGGTGCCGCGCTCGTTCAAGGCTTCGGTACTGGCGCTTCGCACCTTTCTCACGGCCGGCTTCATGTTGGCCGCCCTCTGGGCCGGGATCACGATATGCGCGTTGGACGCGATGCTCTGGTGCCTCGCCCTCGGCCTCCTCAACGGCATCCACTCGCTCATACTAGCCTGCCGATTTCTACCGCCCGCGCTCAGCCCGGAGCTCGCCGAGCTCTATCTCAAACTGTTCAAACCGTACAAGGTCAGCAAGAAACACTTCCAGGAGCTGGCCAAGGAGGCGAGGATATTGAAGCTGGACTCTGGTCAAACGTACGCGACGGAAGGCGTCACGCCTGCCGACGAACGGCTGTCGATACTGTTGCGTGGCAAGTGAGTATATCTCCGTAAGGAGGAATATCGATACGCTACATTTCCTTGTTCCCTTCCCGATACGAACCGATTAGCGTTGTTCAACCGATCTTCAACCCATTTTCAATTTTTACAATTCTTCCGATTGAAAAGAAATTTAACGCGTTGCTGATTACATTGGATTTCGTTGGTCGCAACGATCGATCTTTGGAAAAAGTTGGGGGGAGGGGGAAAGTTGGTTTGGCGTAGAAAGACAAGAAAGGTGGCGCTATCTAACGAACGGTTGCGCGGAGTGCAGGCTGAAGGTGACCTGCGACGGGACGCACTTGCACTACATCAAAGCTTATCAGTTCGTGGACTCGCCGGAATGGGAGGCCACGCACGTGAACATCAACGACGTGTTCCAAGTGACGATACGAGCCGAGGAATCGAGCATCTACATCTGTTGGACCAGGATCAAGTTGCTCAGGGTACTCAGGCATAGGCCCCTGCTCAAGGTCGTCCTCAACACCCTCATCGGTAAGGACATTACGTCCAAGTTGTACGCCCTTAACGAGCAGCTCGCTGGTGTCGCCGCGACCAGTGAGACAACCACGTCGAATCCTTACAGGGGTGTCGCGAGAAGTCTTAGCGTCGACGCTGTAAACACCGAAACTGCCGGAAGAGTACGATCGACGACGTGGAAGGCACAGAGGAGGCACAGCAATCCGCGTAGCGACAGTAAGTCTCTCTTTCTTCCACTTTTCTCCACTTCTGTCCAACGCAATTCTTTCTTTCCTTCTCCCATTCCTTTCGAGAACGACGCGTGCTAAATTTTTCACCTCGAAAATCGAGGTGCAAAATATAGAGAATATCCTAGCATCGTGTTGCGCGTAGTCTTGGAAACGAAGGATACCGCTTGAATCGAATCGAATTCTTCCTCTCCTATTCCCGAGAAACTAAAAATCGATCGTCAGATTTCCGTTTCCAATTTAACTTGGCCAACTTGGATAAAAATCTTGGAAACGGCGACTAGTTGGTTATTATCCGAGTATATAACGAGTACGATTCCCGATTTATATCGGGAGGGATTGGCAACCTCCATTTCCATGCGATAACGCAAAAGCTAGCGAAAACCCATATCTCGGAAACTCGATCGAACGAAAACATCAAATTCTTCCCTCCTCCTCTCTCCGCAAAATTTCCAATCACTCCTCAGAGTCTTAATTCGAGCTTCATTTCCTAAAGTGAAAAAGCACGAAAGTAAAACGAGCCTCCCCTCTCCCACTCCGATCGATATCGCGAAAGTCGATCGAAATGTCGGACGGATCAAATTGTCGTGATCCACAGGGAGCTCCCCGTCGCGGTACTCGCACCAGTACTGGGCGCCCGTCGTGGCCAATCACTTCCCGCCGACTTCGCCGTTCACCCAGGGCCAGAACCTCGGCTACACGTTACTGCCGCAAGGTGTACAGTTCTCGCCACCGCCGCGGGCACCCTTGTTCTCGCACCAGCCGTTGACGAGGCAGCGCAGCGGAGGGGCGAGCGGCGACTACACCCTGCTACCTCAGACGCCCAAGCTCGAGAGGAAGCGGTCGAGAAAGGGGACGAGAGAGGTGAGTGAGCCGCGCCACGCTTCTTCGATTCCTCTTGTCGCGCGCGGCCAAATGTAAATAGGGCAGCCGGGCGAGGCAGAGGAGCAACTCGATTACCGCGCGTACTCGAGGCAGAAAAATGAACCGATATCGAGTTAGCATGGTCGCCTGGCTGCCACCGTGTCCCCCGAGGCGAAACGACTTTATTCTCGCAAAAAGATGGTAAACGAAGGGATGTCGCGAACGAAGCAGCGAAAGAAGAGAGGAGAGACACTCGAGGCGACGAGAAAACTAGCTTCCTTCCTTTCTACGAGATGACGCGAGAATGCTTCTCCCCAATTAACTTCCTTCCCTAACGTTTCAGCAAATTAAAAAAGACATTCGAATATCGTTCGCGTTCTCGTCCTCTCCGATAGGATTGCAACCGAAACGAAGCGAACTTTGAATAACGTGAAATAACAATGTAAACGTAATAATGTACGGAGTTAAATTTGAATAAGATCTGATAGATTGTCGGAAAAATTGTAGAAAAACAATTGCATGTCATCGATCGTTAGAAACGAATTTGAATCTTAATGTTTATTACGAAGTAGATTACATTTTCAGAGAGATTAGGATTAAGTTCGTTCTAAAGGTCAAAAATGGTTAAATTACCCTCCCTGCGAGTCCAATTTTTGCGATAAGAATGACAAATTTCCCAATGACCTATCGCAAAGCAAATTACGCCAACTTTGTTTCTTTCTTTCTTCTGGGCAATGTACATTATCTCGAATGATCGAATCTTTTTTCCTTCTTTTTTCTTTTTTTTTTTCCTATTTCAAGAATCTCACGTTTGATTATCTTTTAACGAAATCGACGAGCGAGAAAGTTTGTCCCGTGAAAAGAAGAAGGATGAAAAGAAACTTAATAGAGAGGTAAAGATCGTGGCGCGTTAGTAAGAGTATCAAGAACGACGAAATCGCATGCGACGCGTGAATATTTCAATAGCACCGTCGTGCCACGTGTTTTCAGCGTATAGGCCGATACAATTTTTAAAAAAGCCTCGCGGCTAATTTACGTCGTTGTCACGAATCGAAGAAAGAACTGGCAACACGGGCTTTTTAATTCATTCGGCTAATTCGTTTAACAAGTGTTAAAAAGTCGTTGCGCACGAGCACGAGCGACTCTCGATCCACGAGATTGATAGGGGAAATGCGACGATAATTCGCAATTTCTATTTTCGCGCGTGACAATGCTCGAATTAATCGGGTTACAAAGCACGGATCGTGTATTTTTAATTACGATAAATTACGGTGAAACCTCGGATTTCCTCCGTCTCGTTATTTACATTTTTCACATTTCACTTTAATTTACTCCTTTTTATCGTAATTGAATATCGTAATACGATTTACGTCGTAGTTAAAATCGATCTCTCTTTGATACAATTAAATACACAATTAAATACAATTGTATACACGATTCGAAGTACGTTATCGTTGACATCGAGTAATTTCGCGTTCGGAAGAAGGAGGCATCGCGCGAAACGACAAATTTCCCTATTATTCTAAGAATACGATCTCGATAATGCCCCGATAATAACCCACCCTCTTTTAGCTTTGACCTTCTCCCACGACTCCTTAGCAACGTGCCTTTTAGCGTTACGAGCCACGTGTCGAGTAAGTATGTACTTGGCGAGTCTTTAATGCCTTTCATCGAAAAATATTTTTAAGCTCTTACGATGCTAAACGCGAGAAACGTATCATTTTTTTTTTTCTTTTAATTATTTTTACGCTTGTCGCGAGGAAGAGAAGAAAAACATCGTGTACGACTCGATAATGGAAAAATATCAAAGTGTTTCCTTACAACGGTAATTAATCCATCCGTAGCACGCTAACGATCCAACCGTGGCTACAATTAAATTCGCATAACGCAGCTAAGCGTTTCTGAACGAGTAGTGGAGTGTAGAATGAAGAAGTAGGTAAAGCAATTAGAGATTGGGTTAAATTAACGCTTTAAATTACCATTAAATTCGCGGGGTGGAAATTGGATGGAACCCAATAATAATTTGGTATTTTTTGGAAATGTTGCAGGTAACGTTCGAGACGCCCGTATGACGGTCGCTCGACGGGGAGGGCCCTGCGAGCGTACCTCTTCTTTCGCTATCGCCGCAGCGTTCCGCCTAGCCCCGTCGAGATCTCTCGCCACGGTTGTTGTTCGTCCTCGAAGGTACGTCGCCGCGTCGACCGGATCGTAGCGAGTCTAACGGCCTATCGCAAGCTTCGGTGTCGCTCGCGCGATCGTGTCGCATCCACGGACGGACACGGACGGACTACGAGCGCAGTTTCTCCAACTGTGCGCCTGTGTGCGTGTGTGCGCGCGTGTGTGTCCACGTGTCTTGCATAACGCGTGCGTCTGTTTACCTGTGCGTGTATGCGTGTGTGCGTGTGTGTGTGCGCGCGCGCGTCGATGCTCTGCGAACTCCGTGATTAATAATAAGCCGAGCAGCGGAATATTTCGTAGCTCGAAATGGACGAAGAAAAAGATCAGACCATGTTCATATCCCGCAAGTGCTACTACGCCTTACACGTAATAACTGATAATGTTACACGCAGAGAGCCACGTGCACCTACATAACTAAACCGAAATCTTGAACCGTGTGTTCGCGATCGATGTGAAAGGAGCGCGCGTGTATGGTGTTCGCCCCTGTCATACCGGTCATCTGTCCTTCTTCCTTTTCTTCTTCTTCTTCTTCTTCTTCTCCTTCTTTTTTTCCTTCTTCTTCTTCCTCCTCGTCGAAATCTGGGAGAGGAAAGTGAGACGAGACTTTGGAAAGAGTTTGGAAGAACGAAAAGTCTCGGTTCCACTAGGAGGAAACTGGGACGAAGAGGAAAGTTAGGCGAGCAGGTGATGACGAAGGAGAGGGGAGGGAAGAGGGAAGAGAGAAGTCTGTCGGTAATTGGAATCACGCGCTCGATCGTTGGAACATTGGATCCTTCGAGTTTGAAGAGGATGGATGAGAAAGTGGAGGTTCGTGTTTTATATTCGAAGAGAAAGCCGACGAAACGGTTGTCCTCCAACCCCTATTAGAGAGATGCTTTGTCTCTCCCTCGTTTTCCGTTTCGCGTTCGTTTACACACGAGTGATCTCCGATCGGTTCCCGATCCATCGTCGTAATAAAAAAGAAAAAAAAGAGAAGGAAGAGGGGGAGAAGGAGGAGGATAGCCCGAGGGAAATTTGCTAATTATCGGTGGAATAGGAACGCGAGAACGGCGAACACGTCGGTGAACGATTCTAGAGGACGATTTAAACGAAAATTTAAAGGAAGATTAAAAAAAAAAAAAATTAGATTATATTGTATACTTCTGACGAGCGTTGACGCTCGCGTACACATTTACATCGACTGTGATTATAACGGATATAATTATTAAGTCTTTCAGAAAGAATACCGAGTATCTAAACACGGAAAACTGGGTATGGGAGAAACCGAGTTGGAGAGATTTAGGGGGTCCTCGAGATCGGTAAGTTCAAAGGCGTGACCATTGCCGTTAATTTCCGACTATACGAATTTCGCTTTCGATATTTTTTTTTTTTTTTTTTTTTAATGAAAATCTAATTAATTCGTAAAATTTACGTGTATAAGAAAAAAGAAATTCCAATAACGAAGCGTAAATTTTCGAGCTCATACATCTCAATCTTAAGGAAACAAATTTCGATCGAATGATTCGTTTCTTTAACGAGCCACGTTTTTTTTTTCCCGAGAAAAATGAATTTTACAGAATTAAGCAGGGAACGGAATCGAAAGGGGAACGATCGAAATTTCAAATCGAGTTCATTTAGTTTGGCCGATGAAAAAAGGAAGCGATTAATTTCGATGGGGGACGAGCGATCGGCTCGGCGACTCGTTCTATCAGAAATTCATCGGCTCGCGTGTCCACGTCTGAACTGGGATATCGATCTCTCGAGGACGGAGTAATCGAGGAGTAGGCGAGGTCGAATAAGATAAACGAGTGGAAGAAAAAGGGAAGAGAAAGGGGAGGAAAAAAATGCGAGAAAAATGCAACGCAGAATTTCGAACGACGGAGATAAACGACACGGGGATCGTTGCATCCATACCTGAAACGATAAGAAAAAAAAAAAAAAAAATCGAATGCGAGTAAAAAGGAAAAATAGAACGAAGAAACAACAGGTAATATCGTTTAGGGGTAACGATAACGGGAGAAAGAAAGAAAAAACGAATTATTAAAAGAAGAAGAGGAGAAAACGACGAAGATAAGAGAACGAACGTAATCTCCAGATGTAACGCAATAAGTGCTTCGTTAAAATGAAAAAAAAAAAAAAACCTGCAATAAAGTGCTTCGAAAATAAAATAAACCAAATAAAAAAATAAATAAATAAGTAAATAAATAAAATAAATGAATAAATAAATTTAATAAAATATAAAACTCGTAGTTGATTATCGAGAGGATTAACGGAGCAGAGGTGTCGTTTAAAACGCGAACCTTAGGGTTAAATTAATTAATTACGTACGCGTCGCGCGAGAATAGAAGAGAAAATAAAAGGAAAATAAACAGAGATAAATAGAGCACGTGTAGTAGAAGAAGAAAAAAAAAAAAGAGACGAATATTAAAAGAAAAAGAAAAAAGAAAAAAAAAGAAGAAAATAAAACAATGTGTGTTTGTATGTTTCTATGTTTATATAATCCCCGCGTGTGAGAGCGAGGCCGTAGAAGATCTATCGAGACGCACAAACGATTAAAACGAAAAAAAAAAAAAAAACGATTTAAAAAAAATAAACAAAAGGAAAGGGAAAGACAAAGGGGAGGGGGAGGGGAAGGGGTAAGGGAAAGGGAAAGGAAGTGAAGAGAGTGCGCGCGCGATTCGAAAATTAAAGTCGTTATGATGGGACAGAGAATAGGAAACAGGTGCGTGTTTGATGCAACAAGAACGATGCAAGCGAGCGATGTTACGTTTTGTTGTAAAACGTGTTCCGTTGCGTCGATCAGCCTTGTAACTCGTGTACTCTGCGTTGTTCTTGGGCTACGTTCGTCGGAAAATATATCCTCGCGATCGATAGAACGATCGTTGTAAAACGGACGATATGTTTGAACGTGGAACATATGTTGCAGTTGATAGCCACTGCCGTAGAAATTGTGAATATAAATATGGGTAACGTAAATTTAGAGAGATATTGGGTTGAAGTGAGTTTGGGATCGGAACATCGTTTCGGTTCTCCGACGAGTTATTGGGAAAGCGAATAATTAATTTTTACGTTTCTTTCCTTATTCGCTGATAAAAATCGCGTATTATTAATTTTTATTTATATTTCTATCGCGAGAGAAAGAGAAAGACAGAGAGAGAGAGAGAGAGAGAGAGAGAGAGAGAGAGAGAGAAAGCGATAATTATATCATTATATTTGACCGCGTTTATAAATATTTTTACGAACAAATTTCCTTTAAAAAAAATATTCTTTGAATGTAAAGTAATTCGCATTACAATACAACGAAATTCAAGGTAATAATAATAATCCCAAACTTACGAATACGATAGTATAAGGATCGGAGATGAGAAATGTTTCGTTTTGTTATTGATTATTCGTCGAAATGATACGAATGATATTTTTTTAATAATTGTACATAAACGTAAAAAAGAAAAAAATAAATAAATAAATAAATCGTGTTTACCCATTATCGAACGAAAATGTACCTGTTTTTTAATTAATCTCGAGACGACATTTATCTCTCTAGATTTACTACCAGCTTAAAAAACAACGTTAAAAATATCAATGTTTCGTCTATTTTCAATCGTGTCAATATTTTTGACAAAAATCAGCAATTTAGTCATGTTATACGAACAATATAATTTGCAATTAATATCTTGTTAGCGAAATTAAATATTATTTACAGTGCGACGCAGAATTTTATTAAAGTTATTGGAACAACTCGCTTCGCGCCAATCACGTACAGAGAGAATCAATTATTCGTATATGCATTAATTATTATTTACCAACGATTTTCAGAAAGGATCGGGTTCGATCAGGTAAGTTATCCATTAATTACAATCGAAAAAAAAAAAATACGTTTGGAAAGAAAGTCGAACAAATTTTTGTTATCTGATAATTCCATAGAGAATGATTTAACGAACTTGTACGATACGCTATTACTATGGTACGCTATTATTATGGATATCGTCCAATTAATGAAAATGAAACGCACACGCCGCGTCTAACGCGCGAAAATCACGATCGCGTTGGAGAAGAGAAAAAAATTACCTCTTCCAGCTTGGAATAGTAATCTATGCTTTTCTAGCAGATGTTACGCTATCGTATACCTTTGATATTTAATCCGCGTAGGAAGTAAAGGAGTTCTCGATCGATTTCGATCGACCTAGTGTAAAATACACGCATAATATCGTAATCTATAGTCTTCTATGACAATACGTAAGAGTAGTAGAGATCTCGGAAATCTAATTTCTCTGTGGTCGTGTCGAATACAGCGAACACACGGGGACGCACATATTTACATAACGACGCGCTTATATTTTTATATATGTACGATAAGAGAATTGTAAAATAATATCGTTATATATTATTGTACATAGGAGACAGTAGTATTATACAGTACGATGATCAATCGCGCGTTTCGAAATTTTTTAACACGTTTCCGTGCAATCGTATTCTTCGAATAGGTCGCCGTGCATCTCTCTTTTTATTTCCAGTCGCACCTTTTCTATTATTTTGTCGATCGATGTGCGTTCTTTCTTCAACGAGCATCGTATATTTCGTTTGAAAATCATCGTTGAAAAAAACTCTTTTTTTTTCTTTCTTCTTCGGACAAATTCGATTTATTCGATTTTGCGCGTAATATTATTATCTCGTACAACGAGATTTTTTGCAATCGTGTTAAATCTATGCAAGTTATACGAATGATACGTTGATTACATTTTTTTTTAAAAAATATCCTAAGAAATACTGTAAAATTTGATCGATACGTATTAAAGAGAAATTAATAACGTTTTCATTTTTCCGTAGCAAGAAATTTCAATACAATTTTATGAAATATAATGAATGAAAATGGATTCACAATTGATAAAACTTTGTTTAGCAATTTTAATTAAATTTTCACGATACTCGTACTTTTCGATTTCTTAGGGCCATTATATATGAAAGAAAGAACTGGCAATCTTCGTCCCCTAGTAGCCCATTCAACAAGTTACATTATTTCGATTAAAATTTGCAAGGCTGACACTTGTCGCTAGTTCCAGATGTAAAGCATCTGGCGATTGATTCGTTGAATACATCGGATATTGCCAGTCAAAGAGATAAATATTGACTATAGAAAGCAAGACGGCCGATGTCGATGTAGTGATGGTATCAGTAGTAGCGAATCGTACAAATCAGACACTGCTCCGAGCCATCGGATCCTCGAACACTCTTATTATATCTCGTACACTTTTTCTTTTTTTATCGAATTTCGAAAGAAATAAAAATAGGAATAAAAATCATTGAAACGATATAAAAATAGATATCCTTTATTTCTGGACAAAATTCAACGTCAACGTTTCGTACGTTGAATTGGAAATATAGAAAGTGAATATTAATATGTAAGAATTCATAGTAGATAAAATATATCGATAATGGAAAAATGTTACAATCGTTACAAATATCATAAACGTTATATTTACTTTATAATTTTATACTTATTTTGCGTTATAAAATATATAATAAAAATTAATCGATAACGTTTTAAAATTCGACAAACACGAGGTTTAATATTTAACAGCGTGAAATTTATTTATTTATTTTTTTTTTTTTTATTCCAAAGAAATAAAGAAACATCCCATTTCTCGAATATTTCTATTCTATTTTTGATAACGTTAGATAGAAATATGATAATTGGAAGAAGCATTGCCACGATGTTTTTATTCCTTATCGTCGAAACGGAAATATTTTAATTGAACTCGATGCGTAGAATTCCTTCCACGTCAACTGCGTTATAGGTCATATTTTTCCCCCATTAACATCCATCGCAAATTCACGTGGAAACGTACGATAAAAGAGGAAATTAATTATCGTTCCATTTGTTTCGGTAAATTCAAGAGTATCTTGAACGAACGTATCTGTCTCTACACCGGTATCGTTATATCCAATTATATATCGCGTGTTTCTCTAAAGCAACGATCGTTTCTTAATTCCCGACCGACCAATTTCCAACAATTCTTCCTCTTTGATCCGTTCGTAAAGGATAATCCGTTCCGTTTCGATTTCATTTGATGAGAAAAAGATGAATTTTGTTTTGGGAAGATGAGGGGAGAAACGAAAAAAAAAAAAAAAAAAGAAAAAGAAAAGAAAAATGAAAGAACGTAAACAGCAATTATGACGTCGCGTAATGAGAAAGATGGAACACACGTTTCTACGTGTCCCGGTTCCTCGAATCCGTCGATATTGGCATGAAACCAGCTGAGCGACGAACGTCTGGCTTGATTTTAGGCCGAGTTATTTACATACGAATGGAGACCGAACCGAATGCATTTGCCAAACATTTTTTTTCTTCTCAACCCCCGCTCCATACGCTCGATATTTTCGACGTCCGCAGGCCGGTCGCACGGTACGTCTCGTATAATAATGCGAACAGCAATGAGTTTGGATAGAGGACAGTTGGTGATTCGTCGGATGTGCGCGTTCAATCGTTAATTGTTTAACCGATAATGTCGTTTCCGGCCTCCACGTTCCGAGCGTAATTAGCACCTGAAATAGCTTTTTCGCACGTCCTCTCTCTACCTCCTCTATTTTCGCGATCGCTTTTCTTTCAACTTTAATTTCACCACCTTTAAAACCCCGCAAATAATTCCGCGCGTCTGCGTAGATTTACATACGCGGTATAAATTTCTCGCCAGATACTCGTGTTTCCTAATTTTGCAAATTTTTTGCCGATTATAAAATTTCTAGCAATTTAAAAGAAAGATCGTCCGTTCGTGCAAATTCGTATTTTCCGACGAAACGTAGCGTTTCCGTGCACCGCGGTAAAACGAACAATCCTTTTTTAAACGTTGTTTCCGGTAGAGCAGCGAACGGAAAGGCGTGTAAGGGTAATTGGCATCGAGACGAGAATCGGCGAAAAGAGATGAGAAGAGGAGGGAAAATTCGCGCATGAACGAAAGAACGAAACGAAGAATGGAATGACAAGAAAGAAAGGAAAGGGGGAGGGGGAAAAAAGAAAAGAGAAAAAGAAAACGAGACGATGGTGAATCAACAACAACAGCACTGTATATTATATTACTATTATTTATTATTATTACGACATGTTCGTTGACTATTATGTTAGAAATAAAAAGTACATTGAGAAACTGGCCGAGTAAAGTAAATCTCCGACAAAACGTACCACTTTCCTCTCGAGATCTCCCTTGTTCATCCCATTGTAACGCTTCTTCTACCCCTATCGTCTCGACTCCCGCCCCTTTTCGCTCTTTATAGTCGTGGAAACAACGAAGTAGAAGCGCGAGGGTACTCGAGCCGGAAGAAAAGCGGAACAAGAGACGACTGGTGATGGCAGGGGGCCCGCTTCGGAACACAATATTTGCCATTTCTTCCTCGTCCATCCAAACTCGAGGATTGATTCCATGAGGAGTTTCCGCTACTCGATCCTTCGTTATTAGATTCTGCTACTAGTTTCGAAAATAAGCTGTTTTCTTTTCCTTTTCTCTCTCTCCTCGAACGAATAAATATTCTTTCCCAACAATTTCGCTCTCCTCCTTTCCGTGTTTATTTTCCGATTTTATTTTGCAAAGATTTAAATTTTTCCGAACGAATTGCGAGTTGTCGCTTCTTTTGTTACGTTGTATTTTTTCCTATCTTCCTTCGATCCTTTTTTCCACCAAAACTTTATTTTCCGTAAATTGAATTTAAAATCAATTGTCGAATTCGCATTCCATTAACCAATTGGAAAGATGGTGCATTTTCCGAAACAATGCTGCCGTGGAAAAAGCGGTACGGGCAAAAATCAATATGTTGTATTGTTTAAAGGCTTCCGCCCCAGACTCGCACTATTCAGATCGCATATTTATTTTCTCGACTATCGTTAATTCATAAATGAACGAAGATAAAAGAATTTAACGCGTTCCAATTCCGAATCCAATAATTTTATCCTTAAAATTAAAATCGTTTATATTAATAACAATAATAATTTTTTATTTTATTACCTCCAAAAAATATTCACGATTTTATTATTTTATTCCAGAAATGATTAATACAACAATAAAATTCATTACATTAATAATCATTTTTATATTTTAAATACGGAATATATATTATCATTTATAATTAAGTAAAGTAATGATTGATTTTGTAATAATTATAATACGACATAATAAATACAGGAATTTTTAAAAATATTGTTTTCAATCCTTATAATTCTTGAGATTTGATCAAGAGAGAAATTTCTCGAAAGAATATTATTTTCTAAACAATTGTTAATTCAATCGCTAGAATATTCATTTTCGTTAAAAATTTTTTTTCAAATAAGATATAACTCGATGTTATTCCATCGTTGAGCAAATATTAAATTTGTATATATTTGTCAATGATGGTCTCGTACATTGATATTCAATTTATCCATAATTTTAATATCTTTTTCGTTATCCGATCTTGATATCTTGATATGCAATTTTGGATTTTCACTTTTGACCATCTAAAATCGTGGAAAAAAAAAATATATTGCTCCAAAGATTGTAGAAACAGATTAAGCAAATTACTATCATTACTAGTTTTTCATTTTTACCTGTATTTGCACGTTTCTGTTATTAACGTCGAATATCTTTGATTCGTCGTTATCCTCGACGTAATCATTTTCACTGGTGTATGTAGGAATTCTTTCGTATTTCCTGTTTCTTTCATCGTCTTCGTATTCGTTTCTCCCTTTAGACAATTGTATCACGATGATACAGGGATAATTTTCGGTACGTCCATCAAAATCGTCTCTCGCCAAACCATATCTGAAACGTCAATTTATCGAAATATATTTTTAACTAAGATTTATTTTTTATTATTAGTTATTAAAAGGTTTGATATCGACGATTCTATTATAACAATGAATCTATCTAAATATAAGAAGAAAAAATTCTTTTATATTTATATAATATTTAATAAACGTTTAACAAATCGAAGGAAAAGCAGCTAATGAAATCGTGTAAAAATTGGTTTGATTCTTGTTTCACAAATCACATATATAACTTGTATAAACTTTACTATTCATTCCATACCTATTATAGATCGGTCTGCGGGAGTAATAGTCTTCCGGCGATATCCTCTTAGAACGGTAGAACTTGGATGATTTGTGATCCGCGTGCCACCATCCAGACCACCGCAATGGTCTACGTTGATAGTACTTGTACGGTCTGATCAGTTTGTAACCATTTCCCATTTCGATAATCTCGAGCGGTAAAACGAAAAGTGCAACTAGAAACCAGTTCTAGCGACGGGAACGATTAATTATTGTCCATTCGCGTTGATCATTTGAAATGATCGATATTAATTGATTATTCATTCGTGATATTGTTCTAAAACTGCGTGCGATGAAAAATATTCTATCAGTAGAATCATAATCGTTGCATACTCACTCGTATAAATATATTCATGGTTATTCGAGGCTCTAAAGGTGCATCCGGTTTATCCAATTAATTATCGGACAAAATGGACGAATTTAAAATATCATAATACGATGGCCGGCAAAAATACAAATATATCGCGTGTTTCGATCGACTTGAATCATTCACTATAAGTTGAAAAGAACAAATTGAAAACGTATTTCGCGCGTTTCCGTAATTTTTAATTTTCGCGATAACGAATCATCGATGATCTCGTTCCCGACGCGTGCGTTCACGCGTATCTTCACACGACTCGAAACTTTTTATCCGCTAAACTTTCTTTTATATTTTTCCCCACTCTATCGTATACACGCGTGTTCCCACTATTCGAGAGAAAATTTTGACACTTGTTTCTCTCTCTCTCGCCCGACTCAATTTTTTTTATCTGTACTAAATCTCGGCCAACGGGGATAAAGTTTCAACTTCTGTTAACGAAACGATGCTTGATAATCTTTTTTCATCGGCCCGTCGTGTTCATCTCGTTCGTTCGCGTGGAACTTTTATCGATGAAAAAGTATATCTTTTTAGAATACGTCAAATAATTTCTATTTCAACACGCGTGTTTTATCGAATATTTCTATTGTTTAGATTTATTCCAAGATAGATTTTTACTCGGATGGTGGTTAAGTTCTCTTCACGGGGATAGATGAATAGAAGCTTTTCGGAAAACGCATTTCGTTAATTTCTTTATGCCTACGTAACTGAATCATTATATAACATTTTCTATTATCATTGACCATCTATTGTCCCTTCCATTCTATCGCTATGAATTCGCTATTCTATTCTACGCTCTATTGTCACGAGGATCCTATTCAACAATTTTCCATTGTCTCGATGCTTTTCACTCTTTATTAAATATTTTCCTCTGTGAACAAATATTGCCCTTCGTTCGTATTATCATCTGTTTAAATCATTATTGAGCGATTGATATATTTTCCTAATTTCAACGATGCGTCTACGATTCGAATTCCATAATGCGATCTAAATTGGTATCTTGATCGAACATAAATCAAATCACCAATACGCGTGGCCGAGTAGATGAGATTCTTATTCTTTTACTCTCCCGTAATATTTTTAACTAAAGTCCTTTTCTTTATTTTTGTCTCGTTCGCCTTGATTGAGATTACAGATTGGATCGATAATTGAAAATATTGTAAAAATCTTTTCCTATTGAAAAAAAAAAAAGAAATTCATTCGTTATTTTTAATAAACAGTAACATGAAAATATCAATACGTATCATTCCATAATTTCGATAGACATTAACACCGATTCGAAATTTTTCTTACGATTGAAAGTTAAGTTAGGTATCTATAAAAATTCGCATCTATACTCTTTCATCGATAATACTCGCTATACTTATCAACACGCATGTACATTGATGTCCAGACACCTCATTTCCGGTGTCTAGTCCCGCCTTCGCGATTTTACGAACACCAACTTTAATAATCCAGGAAACTGTACGGATAATAAAAGGATCAGCGAAAACTGGAACGACGCCGGTGCCAAAAAGTTTGATGGGTTTGAGAGAATTAAAGATATTCTATTGTCGGTAAATCCGAAAACATCGAATGAAAGGAATTAATAATCCTGAGAGGCAAAATTTTACGATTCGTGAAATACATCTATCTGTTGTGTTAATGAAATCACGCATATTGATGTGAAAAAAGTAATTATCCGTATTAATTATATTTTATTTAATTCGAGTATGAATTGTATCATTGATCGAGAAAGAAAAAATAGAAGATAAATGATAAAATGAAAGAAAGAGAAAGATTATGAAAACAAGATTGATGGATGCAATGAAAAATTATCGAGTGACGATATTTTTGGTGAACGGTGCGCTTCTAATATATCATTCACTATGTTGAAGTAAAAAGAAAATGGAAATGGTTTATCCTAAAGATTCTACGGTTTTATCCTAATTTGAATGTTAAAGGCACAACTTTAAGACCATGTGGAAAGTAAGTGGATGGAGAGACTGCTTTCTTTTGAAGAGGAGAGCAAATGAGGACAGCCATAAAAATATGTTTGTGCAACTGAACCATTATGTGCAGACGCAGACAAATTTGAATTGTGCATTGTGTACAGGTGATTTGTAGGATTAAAATGTTTAAAAAACTGAGATACCATTGTAAATTAAACGACAATTATTTCAATGTCTATCAAAATCAAAAGTACTTATTGTCTCTTTTAAAAATCTTAAAAACATTATATAAAATTAAAAAAGTTAATAAATTACATTGTTCTTTTTTTACATGTTTTATTTAACGACGTGTATGGTTTCAAGAGGCAACTACAATAAATTTAGATCATTTGTTAGATCACAAAGTACATCATACATAAATATGTATATCTATATAAAATATGAGAAATGGTATGTGCATTTCATTTAAAACGAAATAATCCATACAAAAATGTAACGCTAATCAATTATTTGGAAGCATAGTATAGGTATGGTGATGACAAATATTATTTTGTTGTATAATTATCCTCATAATCATTTTTACCAATTTAAATCTTTTTCATTTTTAGTTACCTGACGTTATAACAAAATCATTGAAACTACTGCTTAACGTTTACAACAAAACGATACGAATTATTGTCAGAAATGTTTTATGATTACAATAAATGAGAATTCGAGAATTAAAGCATGATTATTCGATAAAACTACAATGACAAAATTACTTTTACCATTTATAGAAACGTGGAAATATTAGAAAACATTCGTTCTCGTTTACATCGTGTATAAAAAGCGATATAAATATTCATATAAATAATTGTACTATTAAAGCTTTGAAAGAAGCACGTCAATGGTATACGTATAATTGTATAGTTTGATGCTTCGAATCAAAGTAAGTTGCTAGAAATAGAAATGTTTAAGTTTAAATATAATAGTAGATGTAATTTATAAATACCATTTACAGTCTATATACACAGAATCGCAATAAGACGAATGTTTGTTTTAGAAAAAATAAAAAGACAAAAATTATTTAAAAATTTTAAGTATCATTACAGAGAAAAAATTTACTTATTTATAAATTATATAATAAACTTATATATAAATTAATTTTTACATTATAAACAAATATTTACACGAGTATACAATTAAAACTATCACAAAAAATATAAATAATAGAATATGCACGAAATATATCTTCTTGTTGCGGTTCTGTTTGTGTATAATTTGTGATAAATTTAATCCTTTGCACTTTTCATCTATCATACATGGCAATAAATCACGATATTAAATTCGCATATAACATTTTTCTTTTGCGAAGATTCAAATATAAATATTTAAAATTTCTTAGAAACATTTTATAAATTTATAACTCGAAAAAGTCATGATATAAATATTATCAAACATGATTATAATAAATAATTATTAAAACGCTCGATACAGTGCAAAGGATTCACACTTATTAATGATAAATTTAACCCTAAAATTTATTATTGCCTAGGTAAATGGAGTCATACGTATAAAGGTTGAAGATTCTCACGAATATCAAGCTCCTTATAGGAACAATTTTCACTTAATTTTTGTCTAACTTTCATGAGTTACAATTTCCATGGAAAATTCATTTTCCTAATTTTTGTATCGCTTAAGGACACTCTCTTTCATGTACACTCTCTCTCTCTTTCTCTCTCTCTCTCTCTCTCTCTCTCTCTCTCTCTCTCTCTCTCTCTCTCTCTCTTTCTGCCTGATTTCACATATTTAATCCCGACTTTTCTAATCATTTGCAAATCCCAGAAAAAATCCAGTGCGAAATTTTATTCGTATAATAGTACAATTTTTTTCATTCCTTTATGATAAAATATTAGTATTCATATAGCACGTATTTGATCACCGAACTTTTCACATAGCTCAGCTGATGATAGTTTCTTAGCAAAGCGACTTTTACTTGACTAGAAGATCTCGAAATCTATCCATGTATTAATAACATTAACCATCTTATAATAATAGAATGAAAGAACAAAGATTTCTGAAAGTTTTTAAAAAAAGGAATTTTCAAACTTTCACTGTGATTAATCATTCACCGTGTGAATCATTGATGATTCTTAAATCATTTTGAATCAATTTTAAATTCGACAAATTCTTTATATCTTCAAAATAAAATTTTTCTATGCGTTAAATTTAAAAATTCAAAAAAACACATTGCAAATATACATTATTTCTTATCTTAAATGAAAAAATTGTATATATAATTCACATTTTCGAATGCAAATCATAATTTCGATTCGAAAACTTGAATTATACATTAGCAATTGTATATCTTTACGAAATAAAATTATTTCTATGAAAAATAAAAAAGATTTCGTAATAAAACTAAACAAAGATATACATTATTTTGTTTTTTCTTTAGCAATTCTGGAGCATATTTTCTACTGACTGTTCGAAATCGATTTGTTGCTACATTGCGAATACATTGTGTCTAGAAAATTGTAGTACTACGCAATCGTTTCTTGGGGTTCGGTACAATCGGTTGGTTTCACCTCGAGCCACCAATCGTTGGGATAGTGATATTTTTGCAATTCGATGCCTTCTCTAGGGACAGGAATTAATCGACCACCAAATTGCTTAGCCGGTAAAGGAGGAATTACAAGTTGAGGTGGAAAACATTGTAGACTAGGAGAAAATTCGCAATCTGGAGGTAACACTCTTCTTGTCCAACCAACTCTTCTTAACATTTGTGTCTGTAAAAAGGAAAAGATTTCGTTATTTCAATTATTGAATATATAAAGCCAACTTTCAAATAAATTAAATATTTAATTTTTTAATATATATCTATATGTTTCTTGTTTTTTAAATATTAATTTTTGTTTCATATCGAAAATTCTTATATTCAAATGGCAAATGTTCGATTTTAGCGTTCCAAATTCTTATCCTTTGCAAGATGACCTTTTAAAATGTAATGTCGTACTAAAGCTGAACAATATTAATAAAAGAAAAGTTCATCGCTTGAGCATTATCAAAAATGATGCCAAACAATGACTTTCATTTGTCCTAGTTGTATAATATGTAAAATACATCTCATAAATTATAGAAGATCTTCACGCCATTTCAACTTTATAACTCATAATGGAATGTCGTAACTAACATACGAATTTCTGATAAGTATATATGAATCATTTTTCTCATCATCATCTCAAGGTTTATGCGAAATAAGACTATTTACGAGTAATAAAACTAGTTATAAACATTATTATAGTTTTCAAAGTACAAAGTTCAAGTAGTAGGACTACTTTTTCTAAATATTCTATCTCTATTTCGATAATAAAATCTTTGAAGTAAAATTACGATGATTAAACTTACCACGGCATCTTCTTCAAAAACTACGATCTCTATCTTGGGCGCATCTTCTCCAACCTCGTGCTCTTGAATACGATATACTCCAGCCGCGTGTAAGTACGTAGCGCTTAAACCAACTTCGCGGAATGCTTTCGTGATTAAAACATCGTCTCTGAGCGTGTCAACCATGCAAAGCTCGACCTTACGTGCCCATGGCAAGGCACGACCGATCCGAACTTGACCCCATAGTCCTCCAAGGCATAGAAAGTGTACAATGTCCAATTTCGCTAGCACCAAATGAACCCTAATCAAATCACACACTAAATAGAACAGTTAATTGTTAGAACAGTTAAACTGTTCATGACAGAAAACTGTGCCCAGTGAAATTCATTTCATTTCACGAGAATGAATTTAATGATTCATTACTTCGTTATTTTAACTTTTTCTGATTTGATCGTATGTTATAAATAGACTACGGATTTTTATGCAAATGCATATTTATCATATTATCATGTTTTATATGTACATGATGAACGATATAAATATAGAACGTTCGATTACGGATATTTAGAAATTTAAGAGCTGATTGTTCAAATTAAAATAAGTTTTGCAGTTTGTTTTTTTTTTAATGACCGATAATTGAAAATCGACTATATTCTTGAGCAATTATTACTTATCTTACGAATATATTCGATGAAATCGCATTAAGATATAGTTTTAGACCGCTATAACTTCGAAGATAATTTTCGATCAATGAATAAAAGATCATTAGAAACGAAGAATCTTTAAAAAATTTCCTGATCTCGATATGTTTTTTGCTTCTCGAGATATCGTCGTATAAAGATAAGAATAATTTTTAATTGTTTACTATTTCCATTTATCATTTATTATTATTATTCTTTCGCTCGCATCTCATCTCACTGACCTATCTCAAATTCGAGACAAATAGCAGATGCGATTCCTGCAAGTCATACGCACTTCCAAGAAAAAATGTAGGTCACTAGGTTGTCGATTTATTCATAATCTTTGTACTAAAATGCAATATTATGAAGCCTTATATCTCGGCAATTGATTAAGATAATAAAACAAAAAAACAATTTCAATGGCATGCTTTCTTTTATTTTCTCTTGGTCTTATATGTGTATATGTATCATGAATATTTAAACAAATTTTAATTGCATAAAAATCCACAATCTAATTATATAAGACACATAGATAATTCATATAATTGTGGAAAAATACTTTATAAAGTAATTTCGTGAACAATGCACAATACGGATAAAAAATCTGATTCTTTAGAATTTTACTATCGTATCATAATGCACCTACATACTAAAGAAAGAAATCAACACGCTTAAATAACTTATCTATGGACAGTATCTAGTACCCAAATATATGGACCTGTAGGCAAGTTCGTGTAGTTTTTCCGTAAATTCCTCAGGTACGCTACATGGTTGCCTGGGTGTTTCTTGCCGACTGAGACTATACCAGAACAGCATGATCATCAGAAATAATGCCGCCAACGCTCGTAGCGGAGTGATGCGAAATCGTCTGCGAGACCAAAAGCTCATGCTGGTAACCTTGAACACAAAGAAGCGTCGTCGTCAAATCGAGCGTTCCTATTAGAAATCCCAATTTGAGGGAAATTTCGGCATTAAGATATCAAGTGTTCTCGATCAGTTAAATAAACGCACAATTTGTTCACGATTAATCATCGAGAAATAAAATTGTCGAATGGAGTCACGCGCGGTCCTTATACGAAATATTTCACATCATGAAGACTGGTTATTGCGTAATTGGCAAGAATGCCGCAAATAAAGACATCAAGATGCTAAGATGCCACCTTGGAATCACGACGTCAGACAGACACATAGTTCACGCGTCGTGTAGTAAGACGATCCAAATTTGCATTCTCCCGATTTTACTTTTTTTTTCTCACTTTCGTCCCGCACCAAAACGTCACCGAATATTTGTAATTCCACTACTAACCCCTACTATCCACTACTAGGAGTTCTCGATAGAAATGGCAACGTTGCAGCCAATCGATTAGTCTACTTTATCAACGCATAATTCTTGATCGGTGGCGCCATACCTCAGTGGATTAATCTATTTCGTTTGTGCTTATTAAGTCATGCGGCACCAATTGTTAGATAAATAAAACATTTTATAAGACTTTATATCCCATTTTCTAAAATACCGGCTATAAAAAAAAAACAGAGTCATCCTCTGCGATTTGTCCAAATTGTATAATCCAAAATTTAACAATAGAAATTTTAGAAATTTAAAATATATCCTAAAATCGTGAATACCTAGAATATCCTAAAAACGTGACATCAGTTAATTAAGATTTTTTTTCGTGACGCGAACCTCCACGTCATCTGCCATATAATAGGACTTTTCTCGTTGCATATTCGTTCATTTCATCATTTCATCGTAGAATTTGTTTTACAAACAAATGTCTTTAGCGCTCAATAGATGGTTCTGAGGATCAATTCTTATTTTATCTTTATCTTTCTTTTATCATTTGCTGTCCTTTCTATACATTTCATTTGCGACACTCTGAAGATGGCGTTGATTTCAATATTTTTATCCCGTCTCTGTTTTTATTCCATTATTTATTTATTTTTTTTTTATTTATATTTGATCGTGATTATAAACGGAATATATTAATTGAATATACTTTTATAATTTCTTTTTCGAAATTACAATATATCTTAATTTTTAATACAAGAAATATTATATTTTCAATATAATATTTCACTTATTTATCTTTATTATATAATGTATAAAAAATTTTTATCTAATTCGATTGTTTAATTTAAGACGCAATATTCTTTCTATGTTTTTATATTAAAATTTTATATTAAACAAATATACTGAGTACATTTATCTGTTTAAACTTAAAATGATATGATATATCAATAAATATAATTATTTATATTATATAAATATATATAATATATTTATTCTGATTGTTAAATTCTTACGCAACTGGTGATTGCAATCGAGAAACAAAGAAATTACGATACAAATTAACGCTTAAGTGATACATAGATGCAAAAAGACAAAATAAAACAGTACAAAAGTAATCACACAGGTGTTTTTTCTTTTACCACCTGTATATTAAAAATTATTATGATTAATACTATATTATCTAAGTACTTGGAAATGGTAACTCTATTCAACAACCTTACATTGCTCAACGGAGCCTAAAGAATATTATACAGATAGCAAAAAACATGTATTAATTTTCTTGTCTAATATATGTTTATCAATAAAACAATATGTTACTTGAAAATATAATTAACAATGTAATTCTATATATTTTTTGTTTGCGCGTCATCATACAACTTAAAACAAAAAATCTTTTTCATTATTTTATTGTCGACTTCTATAAAATCATCACAGTTTAAATATATCCATCTTCATCCTTTTTTTTTTTCAATGATTCAGAGAATCTTTAATATAGGAGTGTACTAGATTTTCTAAAATATAATTATAGAAAATTTTAAATCGTCGTGACGCGCTATCTCGTTTCCCGGTCTTTCTTTATTTACAATACTTATCGAAACTCGGACGTCTATCTTATAAAAAAGGACTTATATATTAACGAACAATATTAATAATATGCACCGTATAATTCAAGTCAATTTATGAACGTGAATCTCTTTGGATGTCTTAGTGAGATCTTTCTCGAACACGATCATGTCTTCAAATTAGATTTCATCATTTTCACTACTATCGAAGCATCGTCACTTCTATCGTTGTTCCTTCTACGAATTTCACCAAGATCTTCGACAATCAAGATATGCAGAAATTTTATTTGTAATTTTCCTTGATCGAATCAGATCGTCGGTTTCAATGGAACGTGCAGAGAAAAAGTGTTTCAGCCTCAAATGTTCTTCTTCTTTTTCTTTGAGATTCTTTGAGATTTTTTTTTTCTCTGTTGAGATTTTAAAGAGATTCTAAATTTCATTGTTATCATTCTGCTACAACTTTTGTTACAAGTTTTTTTCATTATTCTTCCATTACATTCATTTTTACCAAACGGCGCATTTTTTTTCGGGATTCATCTTCGAGCCTAAAGGACAATTAAAATCCTTGGAGAATTCTTCCATGTTCGAAAGAGGTCCCAATACGCGGAATTTACCAGGACTGTGAAAGCCTGTTGTAATACGGAGTTTCATCGCTTCTGGTCTATATTTACTGCACCAAGTATTTGCTGCGCTAATCCAGAACAATTGTTGAGGATTATAAGGAAGTCCTGGCAATTTTGGTTCTATGTGATTGCGCTTTACCCATTCTTGATACGCTAGATAAGCTTCTTTTATTCCACCATTGTCTGCAATATTCTCACCTTGGGTATTGATACCATTTAACTGTAATAGGAAATAAAAAATGATTCTTTATATAACTATTTATTTTATATGATTAATTTGATTAAAAGAGAGAGAAAGAGAGAAATAGAGAGAATGTGTGTATAATAAAAGCCGATCATTACATTCAAGTTAACATCTTCCACGGTATAGTTGCCGTATTGATGAATAATACATTCCGCTTTTTCTAGATACTTTTCCTTTGTTTGCGGTGCCCACCAATCGACTAGATTTCCGTTTTTATCGAATTGTCTGCCCTGATCGTCAAAGCCGTGTGTTATTTCGTGGCCAATAACGAAACCAATGGCGCCATAATTCATATATCTTGGTCGATCGTTATTAAAGAAAGCACCTTGCAAGATACCAGCAGGGAATTCTGAAAAAACATTATCGTTATCGCACTATTTTATTATCAACGATTTATAACAAAATTATTGTTCTATCAAATCATTTATTATGAAATCATAGTATACTCACGTATACTATTTTCAAGAGACGAATAAAAAGCATTAACGATAGCTGGCCTTCCGTGAGTCACCCAGTCACTTTTGTTCACAGGTTGTCTCAATTTATTAAAAGAATATTCAACCCCGAACAAAGTCAAATTTAAAATATCTTCCAAATAATTATCAGTCGTTAATTCCAATTTCTCGTAGAATTGTTCGAGTTTACTATCATCTAACAATTCATCGGGATAAGCAATGTGACTAGACATGTTAGCTGCTTTGTCCAGAGCACTCCTTTTTGTATCTTTGTCCATCCAATCAACCTAAAAAAAATTGATTATAATAATATTCCTTAATTTAAATCACATTATTAAAAGTTAAAAAGAAGAAGGAAGAAAATCTTTCGAGTAAGTTTTCACATATTTAAATTATCAATATTATACCTTTCTTAATATCTTGGTGAATTCTTTTCTAATATCAGCTACCATTTCTACGGCATTATTTTTTGCATCCTGTTTGAAGTATTTCCTGACATACATAGCGCCAACACTTATAGCTAAACTACCGGAAACCGTATCAATGCATTCCTTCCATCTAGGTTCTCTCTCAGTTTTCCCACTTAATGCCGTGGAATATTGCAATTGTCTTTTACGAATTTCATCCGTGAGATAGCTTACAGAAGAGGCGGCTGCTCTCCACATCACGTAGTTAGCTTGCACTCTTTTTGGAGTAGTGATTAATAATTTCTCCAAACTCGCAATATAATTAGGAACGCTGACGATCACTATTTCTTCTTCGTCAACTTGAATCTTAGGCGCCAGAAGGGTGTTGAAGTATTCCTTCCATGGTATACTGGGATACGTGTTCGATAATTCTCGTACCGTCATAGGATTATAAAGAAGAGTAGCGTTTCGACGTTTTTCATTTGGTAAAGAAATCTGGATATTTTAAATTTTACATATATTAATTATTCCGAGCTTATTTAAGTAACATTATTAGATATTATAAATTTTTATTTTTTTGTTAATGCGTGAATAAATATATTTTAAAATATTAAAATAAATAAATTTAATATAATATAATTTATATAAATATTTTTATTAAATTTATGGAAAATTGAATATTTACCATAAACTGATATTTATTAGATAAATAAAAATATAAAATTCAAAAAAAATCCAAGTTTGATTTAATAATTGACTCACATTGGCAAGATTCATTTCAAATTCCAACGATTCTCTCAATTCGACTTCTGCATCAGTTTTATTAGCTCCAAGAATTACTGCAATATCAACCATATAGCTATAATAAGCTTGTACAATTTTATCAGTGAAGCCTTTGGACAAATATTCGCGTGATAATCCAAGAGCAGCTTGATCCAACTGTAAAAATGAAACATTTAAATTATTATTTTTCTCTATTGAATTATATTGACATTAACATTATTATAATCATTATCCTAGCAAAGATAATTTAAATCATCGATTAAATAAATATTAAACTATATAATCATAAATATAATCATAAATATAAACATTATTGTTTCACAGTTCCGCCAAATAGCATATTCTCTGGGAAAAGCTAAATTTACATTAGCAATTCACGCGTTTAACTTTACTACCGATTTCTTCTTCATTACGCTAATGTAATTTTATTTGCAAATGACTTCGAGCCGGTTTGAGAGATTACAATTTTTACGTCTGCGTGTAAATTTCACCGAACATGAACTTCTTTCCGTGTATACGCACATCGATTATCCGTTTCGTGCTGTTCTTCAAATCAACACCGATGCTAAAATCGATAAAGTAATCGACTGAGTATCCCATCTTACGGAACTTGTACACCGATTTTTTCCAATTGAATTCAGTTTCATTCCATTGGTTTTCCAATATAGGCCAACCACCAAGTTTTCGTAAAATATTCAACAAAGGGTCTAAGCCTTGCTGCTCGATCACCGCTGAAATTATTTTTTTAAATTATATCTCGATATTACGTTAATATAGAACGATATAGATTTTATTCGTTTCATTAGGAGAAAAATGGATGCGATATATACATATATATCGCATACTCACTCTTATTCATACAAGCTTTGTACAAATTCTTGACGAGTCTGAACGGTTTCGGCTCGTTCGGGGGACTCTTCTCCTCGATGCTGGTTCGTAATTGATTCTGCAGCTCGTCGCTGATACCGGTAAACGTGTTTACAGTGGTCTTGTCGTCCGGGATGATGGTAGACTTTAGGAAACCACCGCAAGCAAAATCGTAAAAGTCATCGCACGGTTCTACATCACGGTCCATGTTTTTTAACAATCTGGAAGCTAAAAATTTCTCCATGTAATACGACTCGTCAAATCGCACTTTTACATTCCGATTTTATCGATTGAAAATTTTTACTAACCCGTATGTATGCATTCTTGCGTATAGCATACATCTTCGTCACAGGGGAATCCTCTATCGATGACATGAATATCTTTATTCTGCCGATATCCGTTCAAAGCGTTGGCTGTGGATGGTAATCCTTCTGAGTTAACAGGATCTACTCTTGCGTAGGCGCAGATGCGGATACGATTGCAACATAAAAATAATGCGAGACAATTGTTAATAATTGTTAGTGATGGATATTTAAGCTGTGCAATAAGCAATTTGTCCAATGTATATGAAATAAAATATAAATAATTTCTCGTCTGTCTCTCGTCCATTCATCCATCGTCAAAAATAATCTCAAGAAATAAAAATCTTTTGTGCAAATTTATCCATCTCGGTAACAAAATAAAATAAATCTTAAACGAACAATTCATTCAAATATTTATGAGGTGTATTCAATTTTCTCTCTTGAACAAATATCGAATTTATTCAAAGTCACACAATCACGTTTACATAGTTACTTTCTCATTGTTGTCTATTCGTTAGACGAAATAAAAAAAGTAGAAAAAAATATTTCCATAACACGTGGATGTTTACGTGCATTTTAAAAGATTCTAAGATTCTAATATAACGTAAAATCCAACATGAATCCTGCTCGATCGAATCGTTGGCATTTATTCGCGGAAAAAAAAAATAAAGATCGTCGACGTTCACTGATCGACGATTACTTCTTAAAAACGATTATTTATCGACGTATATTTTTATAAAAATATTCCGATGATTCAGTAATTTTATGATATTACCATAAAAAATATACATACAAAGTTAGAAATACAGATTCTTGTTCATTTGCGAATTTGGATGATCGAAACCACGACCTGGTGACTAATTCTCAAAATAATAATCGCTTGTTCCAATGCATCGACACGTTCTTATTTACGCCACGAATTTTTTATTTCAAATTAAATCAAACAGATCGGGGGAAAAGAAAGAGGAAAGTAATTGTTACGATATCGAATTAAAATAGAAGAATGCTATTTTTTCCCTTATTTTACGTTTGAAAATATTATTTATAAATATACTTTTTCATCAATTTCGATGCTTCATCACGTACACAATACGATATTTCGAGAATTAAAAAGAAGCGCGTTGATTTCATAAGAGAAATATATCGCTTCTATTCAATTTTTATTCTATTGTTTTCAATATAGAAGCAAGATAAGAAGGAAAGTTGTAAAAGAGTTTGTTCGTTTCGAGATTTAGAGATACAACGATTATTGTGAGGTCGTAATTTTGAAAAAAAATTAACAACAATGCGATCACAAGACTTGCTTAGATGTTTTAACAAAACGATTAATAATGCTATTAAATTAGACATCGTTTTAAGTTGTTCAAGTGCAAAAGTTTAACACTCATTTGCAATACGTTCATATCATTTAATATCAGTCATAAACTCGTTAAAGTATGTGCTTGGGTTATTACTACGAGTATATAATTAACCAAGAGAAAGCATCGCGGACGTGAATTCGATATCGATGGTGTGATGACGATATTCATTCCGATATAAATGTTCCGGTAATATGGACCATATTAATAACGATTAACATAATTTCAAGACGAGATGGTTTAAAGATTAAAAGAAACGTTTAACGAACAAAAGAAGTAAAATAAATTGTGATCTAAATTTTGATGATACTTTTTTTTTCTTCTTTTACCGTTTCTAGATGATACGTTGCAAGATGCTATATTCGCAGCTAGAACACCGAACGCGATAGCAAATCCGATAGCTAAAAGCACCGCGCAAACTGCTATCACGGTTAATCCACGTTCCAGCGTCGATCGTCTCTTCCACCATGTTGGATTTCTGAAACGAAATAAAAATTAAATATTAGTAGAGTATATAATATGTGATATATAATAATATACTATATTACATACGTATGTAATTATCATAGAAAATCGGTATCGCAAAATATTTAAATAAAATAACGATATGATAAAATGTTTAAATTTGTTCGATCATTGAAAACCGAAGCAAATATATACTTGGTATGTAGTACTTATTTAGCAGTTTACGATTCCATTCATAACTGACTTATGGGCTAGTAATTCTTATTCCGTATTTCCGAATTGCGCGTCGAGCGCTTAGAATTTAAATGCGACATTGGCTCGCATGATCGCAGATAAGATTTATATGGTTATCCGTGTCGAGAGAGATCTTTTAAGGTTTTTCCATTTTCTTCAGTCTGTTAAATAGCAGCAGTAAATGTCGGTTGTTAACAAAAGTATCCACGTCACAATTGTTGTTTCGTGTTAATAATTTAGAGATTGTTGAAGTCGATGCTGAATTAACCGCAAAATATAATTCGCAAAAGAAGCTCGGCAAGACGAGAGATTCTACGATCGTTTGCAATTATTATTTTCACAGTTTCGAATCGAAGAGAAAGAATTCTTTTTTTTTCTCTCTCTCTCTTCGTAAACAAAATACATTAGAAGTAGAAAATATTTTAAAGTGGATTTAATTTTTTCTTCGAGGAATAAAAAGATTTTTGACGAGATGAATGATCGTACGTAGACCGATGTTTTCTTTTCGTTAACGATAATACGGAGGAAAGAATCATTAGTTTTACTATTATATCTATCTTTTACGTAAGTTTGGAGAAGAAGCGGATGAAAAATTGTATTCTCTCGAATCCTCTCATGAATAAGTATGAATAAATCGGCAATTTATTTCTCGACGATCATTCGATCTTGTTCGCATAATTGTTCCAAGCGAAATACAATAGTTGTCTCGTTATTTTATATAAAAATATTTTAATCATATTCGTACACGTGCTCTTTTGTATACTCGCAACAAAAGGGAAACAAAGATTCGAAAGTTATTAATTAATTTAATAATAAAAAAAAAGGAAAAAAAAAGAAAGAAAGAAAGAAAGAAAGAAAGAAAAGAAACGAAATTGTGAGTTAAAATTAGCGATATAAAAAAAAAAGTTACGATACAAAAGTTTCAAAAACAATTAGGGAAATATAATAGACTCGTCCTCTAAAAAAACAATAATCATTATTGATTCCTATTGTTCCTCCTACCCGCATTGTCACCACGAATAATAAATAAAATAGAGAGAGAGAAAGATCGTCCATCGTGTCACAACATCGTAATACACTATTATTCTTTACACACTATGTAACAATCGATCGCGACTATTCTTTCTATTTCTTTCCGTCTTTTGCAAAAAACGAACCGTATCTCTTGTTTATTAATTTTTCGTCGAATGTTTTATTATCTGTTCGCCGTAACACCCCGTAACAATTCATTCCTCCATCGTTCGTTCGCAAGAAGAAAGCGAGTGAATTTTGAATTCTGATATATAAAATTGCGATAAAGCGCAATCTTTTTGTCGAGCGAACGTGTAGGAACGCGATCGAATTATACATCCATTCTTTCTCTTTAACAAATAATTGCCACGGTGCATAGAATATCGAAATCGATTAATACAGTTTCGGATCGTAATGGAGAACTCGATTATCTTTCAATAATAAAAAATAATTCAAAATTGGCGATTGAGCGAGGCTTAACATTATTACATCATTTATCGTGCATTGTTTTTCTATTAAACATTTAAATATAGAAAAAAAAATTGCTTAATAATATATATCGCGATATAAGTATTTTAAATTTTTAAAAACGAAACGTCACAAATTCGAGTGATATCGTCGATATAAAACGACGATTTTGTGATACGCGGCTTTAAAATATATTTTCCATCGATTATAAACATCGAGTTGTAGTAACATTCATCGGTAAAGTTAGCCCAAGGATAACTACTTATTTGCTAGATTCAACTTATTGCTCGACGAGTAAGGAAACCGAACGGTTTACCATCAAGCGCATAATCGTGTGAAAAATACCCAATTACTCGTATAATTTCAGACGTTGGATTTTCTATTGTAGGATGCAATAAGAAAGATGTAAGAAGATCTCGAAGCGTGCAATACAGGTACAAAGAAATGTCTTGAATATTGTATTTCTCGGGGACAAGTAATACCGCGCTTTGTTAAACTTTGACCTCACTTCGTTCATGAGAAGTTGAATATATCATTTCGTCGCGAATACGCATTATATACAAAATATTTTATAAAAAGCAACGCAACGTTGTCGATAAAAATACATAAACACGTTCCCATATAATATGGATATCTCGTATCATTGCTTATTATTTGAACGACTCGTGTAAAATTTATAGAAGATAATCCGACAATTATGTAATTTTTCTGTTCGTGTTTCACGATAATCATATCGGTAGTAAAAAAAAAAAAAAAAAAAATTTAATACGTAATTCATCCACTTTTTACGTTTAACTTATCGAACAAAGTTGATCGTATTATCTGTGTTTTGACTTTCAAATCATCAATGAGTTTATCTCGATATTTATTTTCCGGAAAATCCAATAATCTTAACGGTGGGAATATCGCATTATTCTCATTCTTCCTTTTACCGTGTTATTTAATCTAAATCACGCGACAAGATGATTTTTTTTTTATCGATATAACCGGAATAATTACACTATACAACTTAACTGTATCGCGCGCGCATTATAGTCGGAATGTTTATCCGAATTATCGAACAGTTTCTCTATCGTTTCTCGATCCTTATTCTTTCCAGAGCCCTTTTTTCGCCCGAAACGTGTTTCGAAAATTGTGAAAGAAAGAAATTTGAAATGTGGACGATCATCACGTGGCGACGGACGTAAGTAGAAGGAATTAAAAGTTAATATCGAGGCAAAGTTTTGATAGGAAACGAGCGGGCGTATATATCATTCTCCCACGCGTGACGCGATGCCATTTGACGGGAACAAAGCCGAGAGTAGCGAATAAATCGGCTCGTTGCGGTAAATATATAAACCGTTCCAACATCTGGAACGACGAGCGTCGGCCAATAAGGTTCGCGACGCGTTGCAACTCGAGTGTATTGACCTCGCCCAGGGACGTGTTTGCCAGTCAATGACCAACTTAGACCTTAACCAGTTGGCTGAAACCGGGGGAAAATCGTCCCCTAGACGATCGAATTTCCATCCCATTAACGAGCGCGACGCTCATTGTGCCGATCACCCTGACACACTTCCTAACCGAACGAAATAAAGATCGAGCAAACGGTAAACTGTATCTTCTTCCCATTATTCTCGATCGAGCGAGTTTTCCATCAAGAATTTTCCACGATATTCGATATCGCCAACTTCAATTTATCCCGAGGTCCCAATTTTTACTTTGGAAGGGAATCTTTTCTCAAAATGTACTGTAGGTATGAATAATGGATCAAACGTACGAATGTGTAGACGTGTAATTTTGAATAATTGAATAAATTATTTTCCGTTCTATAAATGGAAACAATTCGTATCGTACGAGAACCTTAGCTTGAACCAGAAATTTTTAAAAATCGAGATATCGAATCGTAGATTTTTAACCGGTGGTAGAAGAAGGACGAGCAAGTGTATACGTAAAGCCTTGATTTCCTGCCCTCGGGAGGACGGAATTAGGGGTCTGGTCGATTCCGAATTTGTCGCATCAGTGATCAAGCAATCACGCTTGATCGCAAAACACGTCCAATAGATTACTCGAACCATGTAAACAGGTTCGATGTAAATGAGCACTTGGTAATTTTATGCGAAATTTCAGGTAAACGTGGTTCAATTCGTGGAGCAACGATCAGTTTATTGGAAACAGTGATAGAAGCGAACGACTTTTTGATGATAATGATTTCGAAATATGATTTTTACTATAATATAAATAATGTTATAACGATATAATAATTTCCAATTTCTTCGAGGTATAGAATACTCGTAAGTTGAACGATATCGAAATAAACGTTTCGTCGTCTTTTTCTCGAGTTGAAATTGTGCGACGAGGCGCAGGCAAAGCTTTCCAGTAAGAGAGATACTAGCGCGAAACTGTGTCGAATCGAAATCGTACGAAGAGAGCGTGGATCGAATGCTAATAATCGAGTCATATCCCTTACACGTGTCCTCCAATAAAGCCGACCTTCTTTAAGTCTTTCTTAGCAGTCACTTTTCCGTTCAGATTCAATTAAATATCCATTGAAATTTGTTCGATCTGTAGATAGAAGCAAGAAGACGAAGGAGAAGACAATCGAATCGTCAAATCTAATCTAAATATTCCAACAGATTTTTATCTTATTCGAGATTTCTTCATTCCCTCGACCACTCTCGACGACTTCTTCGTTCGATTCTTTCCAACCTTTTGATCATTATCTTCTTCTCGAGCGGCATAAATGAATTGTAATTATCAATTATTCGAAATTACGGGATCGCCTCATATCCGCAAATTATACAACTTGCGCGTGTAAAAATCGTGCTCGATTCGGTAAATTCGCGCGGCGAATCGTATTATAAAACGCGCTTCCTCAATTTTCCACTTTTCGTTCCTAATATTACAATCGTTCGAGATCCTCGAAAAGTCCAGTTACGTCGCAGTTTCTTTAATCTTCCTATTGAAAAGATAACGTGGGCGTAATAATAACGTTGTTTTCTTCGAGAACGAAAACTCTCTGCCTGTGCAGGTTATTCGCCTTTTTTTTTTTTCAATTATTTTCAATTATTTTCAATTATTTATTCAATTCGCCTCGAATCGTATTTGTGGAGCGACCTCTTGGCCGGGAATTCAGTAAACCGGGGGACCTTGTTCGCCCGTTCTAGAAGGATGAACGGGATAAGGAAACGAGAGAGCGTTAAGGCGAGGAATACAAATTCGTTCGACCACCTTCGATACACCTAGATAATGGTAGTTCCGTCAGACGATAATTCCTTGCGATTTCAAGGTGACTACAAATTCTTGTCGCGGAAGTGAAAA